AGCATAGCCAGCAGCAAGGTGGATGGACTCAGTTACAGTGGCAATGAATGCACCATTGGAAAATTTGAAAGACCAGATCATCATGGAAAAAAATCTAGGTGGTTGCTAACAGTAAACAGCTCAATGCTATAATCAATATACCAGAGCCAGTTTGGTGCAGTGGTTAAAGCTCCAACCAAGAAACCAGAAGACCTTGAATCCTAGTTCTGCCTTGGACACAAAGCCGGTTGGGTCACTTTGGGCCAGACAGTTTGGGCTCTAGGGAGGAGGGGACAAGGGCAAAGAGCTTATGAAAATGCCAAGAAAACTGCATGAGAAGTCAACACTGAATTAAAGGTATGTACCACAGGTACACACCTGATACTTGCCCTAGAAGTAATATGAATAAATGAACAAAAACATATCACTTATGTATATTGTGAGCTAACATCAGACATCACATATTGATGGAATGGATAGCACAAAGTGAAATAACACAAAATGCAAATTCAATATGTGATAGCTACTGTATTTTTCAACTTCACCACATCTGGTCAAACAGGTATTAGTAGGCATAGTTGATACAGTCATGATAATGCTTATCAACATAAATTATTTAAAAATTATATTTCCTTGAAATGCAGTTCCTTTGACTTTCCAGATCACTTTTAAGAATTGTTTCAAAGCAGTTTTTGAAAGAAAAGGTTATTGTGAAACGAATCAAATGGCGATCATTATACCTTTGTTTCCCAAATAACTTCCTTATTTGCATGTGGGAAAGAGAAGAACAAATGTAGTAACACAAGTGGATGTGTCTTTCTGCAGCTGAAAAGTCAGAAGCTATATAGTCAGATGATTTCTTTATAAAGCTATTATAACTTTTAGTGTATTCTGTATGTTTTCTGTAGATTTCTGCAAAGAGAAACAATGCAAGACATTGAAAGAGCTGTAAATGTGAAGATTAACTGAATGAATTCATTAAGTGATACAGATAATCGGTTGGAAGGGACCTTATAAGTCATCTAGTCCAACACTCCCCCCCAAGCAGGAGACACTATACCATTTCTGACAAGTGGTAGTCCAATCTCTTCTTAAAAGTGATGATACTCCCACAACTTCCGAGGGCAAGCTGTTCCATTGGTTGATTGTTCTCAGTCAGAAAGTTTCTCCTTATTTCCAGGTTAAATCTTTCCTTCCACCCATTATTCCTTGTCTGGCCTACAGGTGCTTTAGAAAGTAACTTGACCGTCTCCTCTCTATGGCAGCCCCTCAAATATTGGAACACTGCTATCATGTCTCCCCTGGTCCTTCTCTTCACAAGACTAGCCATGCCCAGTTCCTGTAACCATTCTTCATGTTTTAGTCTCTAGTCCCCTGATCATCCTGGTTGCTCTTCTCTGCACTTTTTCTAGAGCCTCAACATCTTTTTATAGTGTGGTGACCAAAACTAGATGCAGTACTGTAGGTGTGGTCTTACTAAGGATTTATAGAGTGGTTTACCTCACTTGATCTTGGTTGTATCCCTCTATTAATGCAATTGCTCATATTTAGCTGGTTGTCCACTCAGACTCCAAGATCCCTCTCACAGTTACTGCTATTAAGCCTGATTTCACCTAGTCTATAGGTGTACTTTTGGTTTTTCTTGCCCAAGTATAGGACTTTACTTTTCTCTATACTGAATTTCAGTTTGTTAAATACGGCCCAGTGTTCTAGTCTGTCAAGATCCATCTGGATCCTGAGCCTATCTTCTTGGGTGTTAGCTATTCCTGCCAGCTTAGTATCATCTGCAAATTTGGTAAGTCCCCCTTCTATTCCCTCATCTAAGTCATTAATGAAGATATTGAAGAGTCCTGGGCCTAAGGCGGAACCTTGTGGCACCCCACTGCTTACTTCCCTCCATGTAGACTTAGACCCATTAAGGACTACTTGTTGAGTATGGTTTGTCAGCCTGTTGCTAATCCATCTGGTGGTGGTGCTATCTATCCTACTTTTTTCTAGATCACGTAGAAGTAGGTTGTTGTCTACTTTGTCGAATGCCTTGCTGAAATCTAAGTATATTATGTCCACAGTATTTTGTTGGTCTACTAATTTAGTCACTATGTTGAAGAATGAAATAAGATTGGTTTGGTATGACCTGTTTTTAACAAATCCGTGCTGACTGCTAGTTATTACTTTACTTATTTCTAGATGTTGGCAGATCTATTTTTTTTTTATTATCTTTTCCAGTACCTTCCCAGGTATTGATGTTAGGCTGATTGGTGCTTAAGTTTCCTGGGTCTGGTTTTCTTCCTTTTTTGAAGATGGGTTTTTTGAAAATAGGTAACAGGTAGAACACTATATTTAGTTATCTGGTATTTCATCTTCATAGGATTTTTAATATTCCCTAGAGACAGTAGCCAGGTAACAAATGAGGATTAATTAAGGAACACTGAGAAATGCTGTTTCCAGGGGTTCTTACTCACTTTGAGCATCTCAATCACCTATATATTAAGATGATAAAGAAGTATATGTATCCTGGCTTCCATGATCTTGTGTGTACAGTAAATGAGCTTGTTTGTATATTGCACAAGTTTTGGTATATAGTACATTTGTCTTGCCTGAAAACAGCCGCTAACTACCTACAACTATAAGCACCTATGGATCATACTCTCATATATTATCATTAATATATGTATAATGTTTAGATCACAAGAAAAAACTACTACTAAGACTTGTTCCTGGCATAACTTCAAAAACCCTGAAGACAAATCCACTTGGTATGTTGTTTCCGCCCTAATGCATATTAACTTTCTATACAGTCATAATCATAAGTTTCTTGGTAACACAAATACATACATCCATGATTAAAAAAATGTCCATAGCACAATTAAAAATAGAAACCCCCCCACCCCAATTAATTTTCAGTCTGAAAACTGTAAAAAGAGGGAAATATTCCCAAAACATTATATTCTCATATTAACTGAATTTCTGGGTGAAGGGTGCTCTGTAGCACAGTGTCATAATAGGAAAATGTCATAAAGTGAAGAAACATGCACATTCTTTCCTGAACTGTCTGTTTTGGACAGGTTGATTTTGGCTGAAGGCAATGCATTTAGATCTCCCCAATCCACAAAGAGTTTTCAATCTCTCTTCCACTCAATTTAGGAAGGTTGGAAGTATAAACCAACTGGTGAAGACCATACTTTTTAAATAATTGTTGAATAGGATTAAAATTCCATTGGATTCTATGGTGGTGGCAGTATTGCCCGTGTGTCATTCAGGAAATGGAGGACAGCCAACAAGTTAAACGAGTTAGGAAAGGAAACATTTAAAAAAATCAGAATATTACATTTATCACAAGACAAAATTAAAGGGAGACATGTTAGTTGGTATTAAGCACAAGACCTGTTCATGCAGGAAGCATGGCTGAAAAATGCAAGAAAGAAGATTCTGGCTAACATTAAGAGATGACACTTAACAGAATGAGCTGTTTTCTATAGTTGGAGGTGTTTAAAGAGGGTCTGAACAGTGTTATTGTAATAGCACCCTACACTATCAAGTAGGAACTTGGATCAGTTCCAGGAGACCTGTTCCAGCAGACCTCTTAATCCTCTCCTGGACTCATTAAATACTAGCAAAGTTTGTTTTTGTCAAATTGTGAAAGTTTTTTTTTCCAAAGATGATGAATGTATACAACTTTGGACAACAATGAGAATACTACAAAAGTTTATCTAATTTACTGTTTGCTTTTTAAAGTATTTAATTTAAAGTATTTAATCAAGAGGCATCTTAAAATATGTAAAGGTTGGCATGACAATAGTTGAACTACTTAAGTTTCACTTTCCTTTCTCCTAGTCTTTATCATCTCAGTTTCCTTTCTCTAGGAAAGGGTTGAGTAATTCGCAGCCTCTGTAGGCTACAAAAAAAAAACTGTCCAAAGAATTAACCAATGTGAGACATCTGCACTATAATTAACAGCAGCATTGTGTGTAGAAAGATGATCGTTGTCCAATTTTTACAGATCACCGCTTTTATTTTAAAAGCCCTATAATTTCTGAATAAGATATGTAGTCTTGTGACATATTACATTCCTCCATTTAAAAACTTTTCCTTGTACATATCACTAAGTGCCAAATTTTCATGGGATGTTATTTGAAACCTGACTTAAGTCTTTGCTGTCAAAAACTGATTAATTTGCTTAAACACACAGTCTCCTTAAACATTTCAGGAACTGTTTCCTCGTACAGCATTGCACATTTATGCAAGTGTTATTTTCTATACTGATGTTTCTAAATATTTTCCTCCATTAGCACTGCGTTCAAAAATGATGTAATTTGTAAGCAGCCTATAAAAAATATTTCTCAACCTTGGCAACATTAAGATGTGTGGACTTTAATTCCAAGCCAGCATGCTAATTGGGAAGTTCTGGGAATTGACTTTCACACATCTTAATTTCACCAAGGTTGAGAAACACTGTTACCTTTGGTTAAGTGAATAAGTTGTCATGTTTTCTCAAATGTATTGACCTCTGGGGTAACACGCAAGAATGATGAATTATCATCAAGACCAAAATATTTCTGGGAATGTAATCCTGAGCCAGGCCACCATGTCAAATTGCCCACTCAACTGATTTCATTTCACCTGCCAACTCACCCTCCCTTTCCTTAGCCACCATTCGCCGTTTTTAACTTTCCAAGAGTGTGTTATAAAAGTATAGGCGGTCTTACGCGGGAAAATAAAGCCCCTTGCCTCCCATGAAGCCGTAAACCCTTTGGCCATAATGCGCCAGTCCCTAAGATACTACGCGTTGTTTCCTGTTTCGGGCAATTCAACGTGCAGGAGGAGTAAACGAAGAGGAAAATACGGTTTTGCAACGGAGCGGTGGGGCGTTTTGCACGCTCGCAAGCTATTGCAAGGCAGGGCCTCCGTATCCTCCCGGCCTTCCTCGGCCAAGCGCTGCGCCGACCAAGCTGACGTCGTGGGGCCGTCCCTTGGCCGGGGGAGGGCGCCACGCTCTGCCTACTCGGCGCCCTTTAAGACCCGGAGGAGGGACGGTTCCGGACAGGCGGTTCCTGTGTTGACAGCCGCAGGAGTCGCTCAGAGCCGGAGGGAGCCGCCTGGCGAGGCACCGCGAGGGGCGCCGGGCTTCTGCCCCGGGCGCTCGGCATGGCCTTCATGGAGAAGCCGCCGGCTGGGAAAGTGCTGCTGGACGATACGGTGCCGCTGACAGCCGTCATCGAGGCGAGCCAGAGCCTGCATTCGCACACGGTGAGCCAGGCGAGCGGAGCGGGTGGGCCCCGGTTGGGTTGCGGCACGAGCGCGGCGGCGGCGGCGGAGGTCCCCGGGGGCGGCTGGCGGGCGTGGGGCGCCCTGGAAGAAGCCGCGAGCGCGACGCGGAGAATACGGAGTGCGTGCGGAAAGTTCCTCGGAGGATTGCGCGGCGCTGCCCTGGCTTTCCACCGTCGGGCATTTCTTGCGGAGCGGGGGCCCCGGCCGGGCATTATGGACGCCGAGCTGCAACCCCATCTGGAAGGGCCCCGATGGTGGTGGGGGGGGAAGGCTGGTTGCAAGCGTGGGCGCGAAAGGAGCCTTTCTTTCCAAGGGGAGGGAGGATGCCGTTTGATCCGGGCAACTGAGCTCCTTCCCGGAGGGACACGGGTTCAAATCTCGGCGGGGTCCGAAAAGGCGCCTTTGTAGAGTTTCGCTGCGGGGGCTCTTTTACGCTTCCGATACGATGGGCGGCCACGCCAAGTGTTGGTAAATGTAGGTGCGGAGCAATTTGTAAAATGTTACAAATCCCCGAATGGGACGCGTCTGACAACAGTGCTACCTGGAGGAAATTTTCTACCGGTGTTTTCTCCCCCCGCGCTCCTCCGGGAGATCATGATTGAAACGAAAGCGAACGAAAGCCTTCGGGAAAGCACGCTGCTCCATATGGCAGGACGAGATTGCCCTGAGGATCGCTTGCCCTTTTAAAGTACATAGGTTAACAGGATAGGCGTTTGATGATTTGCTACTACGTGTAAAATGTAAAATATTTTCTAGCAAGGCTTGCATTGAAAAAAGTGGCAAACCAACGGAAACCAACTCAGTTCCTGCAAAGTGAGGAGGGAAATGTTTTTAGTTAGATTCAGCTGGAAACCCTGGTTGAAAAGGCCAGCTGGGAAAGGAGGAATAAGAGTCTATTAGGGAGTGAGGATAAACCTTGAAAATGAAATGTATTTTAGCTGAGCACAGGAAAAGGTTAATCTGATTTATTCTTCTGGAAGCAACTTTAATTTGTCGAGCCACCCAACTCAGACATTGTGACTCTGTGTGGATGGTATAATAATAAATTAAAAAGCAAGATGAACAATTAAGTTAAAATCCAAAACATCCAAGCTCCAGTCATCCAAGCTCCAAAGCCTGAGGGAAAAACCAATATTTAATGAGGATTTTAAAGACCAATATAGTTATATTTAGACAGTGTTTGCTATGGTATTCAGGTAGATTTTAGTGAAGAAAAAAAATGTATATATTTCTTTGTCTTTGGGGACTGAGTCTTTTGGATAGTGGCATACTGGATTATCAATAATTTAAAATGTTGCCCATACTAAAAACAAAACTTAAAAATTAAATGTAGGTTGTATACAAGGTAAATTTAAAGTATTGGGAATGGTAATTATTGGCTTCTTGGTTATGTTTTTTATTACCCAGCACGGACCAATCATTTTTGAATTTGTTTTGTAAAAGGAGCTAATAATGAGATTTTTTTCAGTGCCATTTTTACTTGCAGAAATGGGTGAGATTGGTGGCCCTAATGGGGAGAGGAAAGAAAGCAGTGACTCGCTTCCTCAGCTAGGAAATGGAGATGAGCATCACCCCTAGAGTAGGACATGACTGGACAGGGGAAACCTTTGCCTTTTTTTACAATAATAGGGAGCCAGTTTGTAACAGTTAAGGTGCTGCCCTAGAAACAGGACACTGGGAGTTCTAGGCCTATGTTAGGCCTGAAAGCCAGCTGGGTGGCTTTGAACCAGTCACTGTCTCTCAACCCAGCCCATCTCCCAGGGGAAAATAGGCAGGAGTATTAGGTATGTTCACTGCTATGAAAGTTGTATATTAATCTCGGAAATGTAATGCCAGAGCAACACTTGTGCTGCTTGCTTAGGCATTTGTTACCAAGCTATTCTCCATCCTACACCAAATGTTTTCACCAACAAGCTAGCCCCACAATAATCAGAAAACCTCCCCTTATTCAATAATTTCAGCAGAGCAGAACAAAATGCTATTGATAGTCTTAGTATAACGACATCATAGTCAAACAAACTGACAAAGGAGGGGGCCCTTGTTATAATAAAACAAATTGTGTCAAAGAATGTTATACAACTTCTCAGATTTCACAGCAACATACAGTAAGTTGTTCTCAAATTACAGCCCTAATGAAGTTTGCCTGTCAGGGTTGCAATTTATGATGGTTATAAACTGAGTCAATCATGTGACTGATCCATTTTTATGACATTTTTTGCAACAGTTATTAAGCAAATGCTGAGATTGTAAAGCAAACACAGTGGTTGTTAACCACAACCAATGGTTGCTGTGGATGCATTTTTTGCTGAAACCAAAATGCTGGATTTTCGGCAAAACAATCCTAAAGCACAGTCACATGACCATGGGACACTGCAGATGGCTCATAAATGCATCCAAGTTGCAGAGTATCTGAAGTGTGGCCATATGACCATGTGGGTGTTGACCATCAGGACATCAAATCCAGGTTGTAAGTAACCCTTAAGTAGGCCAGTTGGAATTTTACATGTTAAATGACCATGTTAAAACCAAGGACTACCTGTACTTAGAACTACATAATCTGATGAAACAATTTCTTTAGGACATACAAGACAGTATCTACTGGAAATACTCCAGCAATCCTTCTACCTACTTCCCAAAGTACACAAACCAGACAATCTAGTCTGTCCCATTGAAATAATCATGGCTGGACTATCATGTTTCAAGGGCTCTATACTGAAACCTTCAGCCACCAGCATTCCCAGCTACATAAAAGACACCACAGATTCCTTATAAGACTGAATTCCAGGGACAATCTCCTTAATAATGCCACTTAAGCCACCATGGAGGTTGAGAAACTATCCATGAAGTCCCCCCACAAATATGAACTTCAAGCCATCAAAAACGTAATCACTGATGCCAACGAAGGATGACTTGCCAGCAGACAGTGAATTTTCTACTCACTACTCTACCTTTGGTAGTGCAAGCTTTCCTAAGCCTTCCCTTACCAAACAAGAAACATCAGCAGATAAGCTAGCACTACTTTATTGTAAGGTTACATTAACAATCTTGCAAGTCCAAAAGTACAAATCTCTTGCTGTCTTTTTTTACAGTTCGATAACTTATGAAGGTTCCCTTTCTGAGCCTCTTGGTCTACCCCTTATGTGGCTGTGGGCTATGCCTACTCTTATCTGACTGTTCCTTAGGCAGTATTTCCCCCATTCCCCAGTCTCCCAAGGTTTTTTTTTTCATATACTATTACATGTAGTAACATATGCCTGAAAATCAATGGATCAGTCATGTGTAGACACATAGCTGCACAACATCTTCATCTGGAACAACACTTTATCAACTCTTATTCCCTGAAGCTCCTCCTTGATTGGTGACATTTTCACCATTTTGTCGAAATGCATACATACAACCACCCAGCCTGAGCAATTGCTCTCAAGTAACAACATAATTATGCTAACATGTGAACCAGACTCTGTTACCAACCCAGATAACTAGTTGTCTCCATATCTACACCAAGAGAGCCATCATAGGCCCCAACCAAAAACATACAAAATTAGAGATGCCTTCAGAAGTTTTCTCTGATATAATATATGCTGTCACTTGCAAGCAGTGACCCTTTAAATTCTGTGTAGGATAAATGAGACAAATTTTGTGCAAAAGAATGAATGGACACAAGTTTGATAGCAAGACTCAAAAAAGGACACATCATTTCAGAGTACATCGGAGTATTTCAACTCCCACAGCATGCTATTGCAGATCTCAAAGGGATCATTTTGAAAATGGAGACTATAACAGCAAGGGATTGTTGAAACATACCTTAAAAGAGCTCAAGAAATGAAGTTTTCAACATATTTTAGTTGTTAATAAGGTACTTTATGAAAGCCTACACCTGTTAATAAAACACATTAGGCTGAAAAGGTGCTACCAGACTCCTATTTTTTGCCTCTATAGTAGTGACTCTAACTTTTCTATTTAATCCTTTTTATGTAAGACTCCCATGTAGTACCATCCGCTAAACCAGATAGTATTACACCTGGAAATACAAAACATGTCATAGTTAATGTTTACAGAATCCCTTCCTTCCTTCCTTCCTTCCTTCCTTCCTTCCTTCCTTCCTTCCTTCCTTCCTTCCTTCCTTCCTTCCTTCCTTTATCAAATTATAAAGGTCTACTCAAGAGAAAGATCTTGGCTCTGAATAGAGCTTAGAATTATTGAAACAAGATCTTTCTATCTTCCTCTCCATCACTGATAATGTCTGAATTACTCAGCAGCAGATATTTTAGAATTCTTTATCTGTACAATACCCAAGTTAATAAGGTTTTATGCGAATTCCATATGGGAACCAGAAACTGCTGCCTTGCACTTCCTTTTAGCTTTTTACCAGCACAGGATTAGAAGGTAAGGCTCATTGTTATAAGCCACGAATAACTTGCCTGTAAACCATTTTTCTCTTCGCCTTTAGCAACTTATGAAATCCATTAGGGCAGGAAGCACCTTTCAAATTGATACTGTTTTCCAGACTATCAGTATTAGATAAATGAAACTCTGGAATAGTTATGAAAATGGATGAGATTTCATTATTTTTATAGATTTACCATACACGTGTAATCTATTTAATAATCCTACAAAATCCAACTTGCCGATCAGAGATGATTTAATAAATTACTCTTACACTGAGTTAAACTAGATGATCTTCAAAACTCTACTCTTTTCTTTTTATAATTCCATTGGCAGAATTTACACTTTTAAAATTTGGTTTGTCAAAAACAGATCATGCCAGACTAATCTTATTGCATTCTTTGACAAAGTGACAAAATTAGTGGACCAAAGGAATGCTGTCGATATAATTTACTTGGACTTCAGTAAGGCATTTGATAAAGTAGACCATAACCTACAACTTGATAAAAGAGAAACATGGGCTAGACAGCATTACCACCAGATGGATTCGTAACTGGCTGACCAAACGCACTCAACATATAGTCCTCAATGGA